TGCCTTTTAGAGCAGTTTAAAACCCATTTTCAGAATGAAGGTATAAATTTACAGTCTGGAAGCATAAGTGAAACCAAACCATAGACTACAGTCCTGTGAACTGCAGTATTTTCTGAGCATAAAAAAAGCCTTGTTTTTCCTTTTTTAAAGAATGGAAAAAACTATCAAGCCAATTGATCGCAGATCAGTTCATCAGATCTGCTCAGGCCAGGTGGTGCTGAATCTATGTACCGCTGTAAAAGAGCTGGTGGAAAACAGCCTCGATGCTGGCGCTACTAACGTTGGTAAGTTACGTGTTGTTTTAAAGTTGTTAGCACTCAAGATCCTTTAGCTGTGCTGTTACTATCTAGTGGCATTTGGAGGGAAGAAGACAAGAAATCTTAGAGCTTTACTTGTTCATTACTTGTTTTTTTTTCATTTCTAGAAGTGAAGCTTAAAGATTATGGAGCGGATCTTATTGAAGTCTCTGATAACGGTTGTGGTGTAGAAGAGGATAACTTTGCGGGCTTGAGTATGAAAATCTATTAATTTGTAATATTATTTGCAGTTAATACATTAGTTCTTCCATAAAGAACTACTTTTATCATCCCATCTTCAAAAGAAAAAAAAGGCAGCTGTTTTTGTATGTAAGATATTTGAACCTCTTGGATTGCTGCCGTTTATTTTTACAATGCAACATTTGGAAACTTGGGTATCCCAAACCACAAAGCTTGTGCATCTCTAAAATTAAATATAAATGTTTAAAAATGCATTAGAATTAGCACCACCTTCCTGCCGAACCGGCAGGGAAAAAATGCTTTTAAAAAATGGGGGGAAAGCTTCCAACGAGCATGCGGCTCACAGCTGAGCTAAGCAATCCTCGGAAGCTTTTTTANGGATTTGAGCAAAGTCAAGGAGAAGGATGAGATGATTATACAGTGTCATAGATGCAATGAACATGGATTTGAGCAAATTCTGACCAGTTCTGGTAGCTGAAAGTTTGAATAGTTCAGAGAACTGGTAAATACTGCTTCTGACTGGCCCCACCCTCTGCCTCCCAAGTCCCAGTTGATCAGGAGGAAATGGGGATTTTTCAGGTACCTTGTTGTAGAGAGAGGAGGAAATGAGATTTTACAGTATCCTTCCCTGCCATGCCCACCAAGCCATGCCACACCTACCAAGCCATGCACACAAAACTGGTAGTAAAAATTTTTGAATCCCACCACTGGTCACAAAGTGTCAGACATGACTTAGCAAGTAAACAAATTGCATTGTACCATATCCAGAGCAGGATTGTGAGGCAGGAAGTATATCTTTATTTGAAGCATTAGCATATCTAAGATAACATAAACCTAAGTTTATTTGTTTTAGGACAAATTCTATTAACAACCAATTGTATAACTATTTTGGTACAATAATAGATAAGACAATAGCTGTCTGCATATAGTACATTCTGCTCATGAAAATATCCCTTAAAGATGCTGATTCCTTCAAATAGCAATTGGACAGAAATAAACCCTTCCTAGGTTTGATAAAATAAAAGGGGATTGGATCTCTACAAATGTATCTTTATAGTTCACATTGCTTTATTTTTGTGTCTGAAAGTTGAGTAACATATTGTGATAAATGACAATCTCAAAGTGGCCTAATCAAAAAATACATGGTAATAACTCATTGTTAAGGGATTATGTTTTTCAAAATTTCAAAATCTCAGCAATGACTTGATGGTTTTTAGTGCAGTTAATAAATGCTGTCTCCTTAGTCAGCGGTGGAGAGAACAATTACTATTAAAGGGAAAACACCTGTCCAGATCCTTTTCTCATGACCATCGTTAAGGAAATGTTTCTTGTAGTATTACTCCATTTTTGCTTTTTTATTCCATTGTGTAGATACAGTTTTGATTTTAAAAAAAGATATTTTTCTTAATAATTTCACCTAGAAAAACATAGCTGGAGGTCATTTTTCCTTTCACCCTTCCTTTATGTTCAATCGCTTCCTTTTATTTCAAGGATAATGTGATGGAATGAGAAAAAGTGTTCCTGAAGAAATAAATTATTAAGTTGCAGAACTGCCACTGACAACAGAGACTCTGATGAACTCAGTTGGGTTCATGTAAGCAAATGCTTCAGTGGAGAGAAAGAGTACAACTCCAGGGAAAGCTTGACAAGTATAGCATAATAAGATTGTAGATACCTGGCCAAGTTAAAATAGAAATGCTTATTGACTCTAGCACTGGTTTTATTCCAAGCTGAACAAAATGATAGGTAAGACATAATTAAACAAACTTTTTTCAGGAATGTTTAACTACATTTAGAAAATAGAAAGGAATTAATATACATAGTAACTATAAAAATGATGTATTATTTTTTTTTTTTAAAAAAAGAGTGGATGGTCAACAAAGCTTTTTGGATAAACAGCACCTGTATGCTCAGTTTTTCCAGTCTTTGAACTAAGTTATGGCTTCCTTTTGATTTTCTTCAAAATGAGCTCAAGAGTTTAGAAATGTTATATGATATTTATCAAATAATTTAAGAAAGCTTCCACAAGGTTATTAGATTTGCAATAAAAAATAAGGAAAAGGGCTGTGCAACGAGAAAGAAATTGGCAGAACTGGCTTTGCTAAGGGTGATGTTTCCAACACTACCACTGATGCCTGAAAAGCACATGGTGACACATCTGTTACAGTGGATGTCACAGCAAACATTCAGGCAACATTACAAAAAGCACAGCTGATGCTGAAATGATGAAATTCTGGAGTTATTCTCTGGAGATAAAATGGTAATAGCAGCTAGTCATGGATCATTCTACCAGTAACTCTATGAAATTGAAATATTCATGGAGAAAGCCAGCGACAAATAAAACCTGGTTTGGATTGTTCAGTAAAGAAGGCAGACAGGAATGGATGTAAAACAATAAATGTATTTTTGTAGATGTCCATCCATTTCATTAACGGGAAAGTATTCACTGTCTCAGGGTGTATGCAATACAATTATCTTGATGAAAGATGTTTACCTGGATCTATTTACTAATGAGGGATTGATATATAGGAAGCCCCTGTTCTTTGAACAAGAATTGAGGAAAGAATAGTGAGATATAATTCATAAGTAATGCAATGAAAGCCTGTACAAAACAGGAATATTCCATCTTAGTACTTCACTGTAAATGGTGTCAATGACCCAAAGACCATTGACTAGCCAGAGAAATACTCAAGCAAACAAAAAATCTGTACTGATGTAGAAAATAAAAATATTTCTTCATTTGATGCTTTGGCTTTAATTAATCAAGTCACCTTCAAATCATATCATTTCAAGTGAAGCTATGCTTAACCTTTATAAACTGTATACCTGAGTAATGTAATCTAAATTGGTGTATTTTTGAAACAGACCACTATTAATGCAAAATTGTCTCAGAATAGTGGTGAACATTTGCAAAGGCTAATTGGATTTTTATTTAAGATAAAAATCAGAGACATAAACATTTTACCCTCTGCCATTCTTTAGTGATAACCAAACGAGTGTTGGTCTGGAATTTAAATTTATATGGCTAATCGGCAAAAAGTTCTATGGATATCCTGCTAGGAGTTTCATAGTTTTACAAGGTTGTGATGAGGGCAAACCCAAGAGGCTAATTGAGCTTACATACAACACATAAGAGTAGGGGTGTGAAACTGGTGGCCTGTTGGCTGGATGCATTATGCACAGGCCATGCATACCACAGCTCTGCAAAGGCAAAAAATGCCACTGTCAGGCCTGAGCCAGTTCCTTTTAGGATCTTTGGCCTACCACAGTCTCTATTATTTTACTATGCTGTTTCATTAGTGGGGAAATTGGAGGGAGAATAGTAAGGAGTAGAATGTATTGTTGTCAAAATAAAATTCCTTTCTAGAAAGCTGAGGTCACCTTTTGTTCTCTAAGTCTGACCAGAACTGGATGGATGGAACTGCCAGCGTGGCAATGGAAGATTGGACATGTGATGGACTAGTGGGTGTGGGGGCAAGATCATGAACTTTCAAGTGGGTGGGAAAACCTGGGAAGCTTCATATTTGGGTTTTCACAGATGTGCCAACATGTCTCTCTTAATAAATTGGAACTTTGAGGAATACTTTGCCTTGGACTCTGATTTAATTTTGGATGATATTTGGAATGCTGACAGTCACAATATGCCATGATACATCATGTGACACGATTGAGTTTAACACCCATACATAAGAGGAAAGGGCATAAAAGTTATGAAAGGACAAAAGAGTGAGAATATTCTTGGAGCAGCTTCAATTAAATCTGCTTAATATTGAAGTGCCCTTCAATATTGTCTGCCCAGAAACTTCAACTAGTGCAAATCATAGTCACCCAAATATTTTCTGGATTTGAATATGACTGGAGACATAAAATTCTTGTTGTATTCTATTTGATTATTTTTTCACTGTCTTGTGTAGCTTTTTCTCCATTGCTTACAGTCACTGCAGTGGTTTATACCAGTGACGTGCGGTGAAGCTTCNGCAACGTTGTGTCAAAATTTCAAAGCAATCGGTGAAGACCTTTAGGAGATTTAAGATTTTGAACAAACGAACATTTACACTTTTATTTATATAGATGGCTATTATTTTCAAAGGTGAATCCTAAATTAGAGACATTTATAGGTATACCTGGTGTTTAGTGCTATAATCTCTACCTTAAAGGCAATATAAGCTCAAGAGCACACTTCTCTAATCTGACACTTTTCAGATATGTTGCAATTCTAATTGTCAGAATTCTAAAAGTTTAGCTTTAATGCCACCTCAAAGTTGAGAAATACCAATTAAAAATGACCAGGTTTTGATTTGGAGAGAGTGCAAAAGAGAAAATGTGTTTAAGTATTTAGGGCCCAGTTTTCTAAGTCAGTTTATAACAACAAACATGTAAAACTAATTCAGATTTTTGGCCCTGATACTGCAATTAAGTCAATATAATTATTAAGTTATAATTCAGAGAAATGTATCAAAATGCTTCATTAGTTGAGAACATTAAAGTCCTGAAATACTTTACCTGCTGGAACCTGATATCTAGATCAAAAGTGATTGGCTCCCGTGGGCTACAGATGACAGGTTGGGTATATTCTTGGCTGGGTGTGGCAACACAAGGGATAAGTTTCACAGTGTAAGTGCCAGAATAGTCACGTACCTGGAAAAAACCACAGAAACTAAAATACAGGTAGTCCTTGAGTTACAACCACAATTGAGTCCAAAATTTATTTTACTAAATGAAACATTTGGTAAGTGAGTTTACCGCATTTTACGACTTTTCTTGCCACCATTGTTAAGTGAATCATTGCATTTGTTAAGTTAGTAACATGGCTGTATAGTGAATCAGGATTCTCCATTGACTTTCCTTGTCAGAAGATCACAAAAGCTGATGTGGAGTGACCCTCGGGACACTCCAGCCGTCATAAAGATAAACCACTTGCCAAGCATCTGAATTTTGATCAACTGACCATGAGGATGTGAAAAACAGTCATAAGTCATTTTTTTCAGTGCCGTTGTAATTTTGAACAGTCACTAGATGAACTGTTGTAAGTCTAGGACTGCCTGTGTTAACTGATATAAATCAACGAAGAATAAGAAACCTTTGAAAGGGTATTTTGATGTTTCAACTGATGCAGAATGCGGCAGCACAGGCAGTTATGGGTACTTTTAGATCAGCACAAACCACACTCTGTGAGTTGCATTGGTTGCCAGTTTGCTTCTGGGTCCAATTGAAGGTGCTACTTTTAACTTTTAAAACCCTTCACGGCATGAGACCAGATTATCTGAAGGACTGTCTCAACTAATTCCATCCTCCCATGCCATTAGATCTGGCAGAGAAGCCTGCTTTTGGTCCCATCTAAGGACTTGGCAGGTGGCTAAAGCAGGTCTTTTCTGCCATGGTGTCTACCTTGTGAAACATTATTTCTCCCAAACTGAGGTTAGCTTGATCTCTGTTAATATTCTGTAAATCCATGCTATGTCATCGACCACAGGGGTTCCAGGAGATTGGTGATATTCAAAGATGGCTGCATCATTATTATTGATTTATTCTCTCTTGTACCTGGTGATTTGTATGTTTTATTATGACTGTTTGACATTTTTAATAAATATTATTTTAATATATTCATTTAATTTAATTGTTGTACATCACCCTGAGTCACCTCCTATGAAATGGATTGCCATATAAATTTTATTTATAAACAAGAAAACAATTAATGGTTACATGTATCAGTGTAACGGTTGGCATATGGCTTTTTAAAATTATTTTTTTATTATACTTACACAAAACCGTTGGGATTCTGAATCCATGGCATGGACAAAATCTGCATCAGTAGATGCCTAACTGATTCTGATATACCCATAACATGCTCTTCTTTTCTGTCAAACCTTAGCCTAATATAACACTCTACCAGTGACGTGCGGTGAAGCTTCTGGCTGGTGAGGCAAAAAGAAAGAAAGCGGCTTTTGCCCCC